AACAAAACGATCTTAACTTTCCAAAGAGATGTTGTCATGCCGTGTTATTTATTGCTGAACTCTGCCCCTAAAAACCAGTCTTTGTTGACGAACACTGCCCCCCAGTTCCCACAAGAGGAGCACTTTTTTTGTATTTCAAGTTTGCTGCAATAAAAAAAAAACATTTTACTATGTACATTGAGTTTTTCAACACACGTAATAGTCGTCATCTTTTTGTTTCGACGGAGTAAACCCAAATTTTGTGTGCTCTATTCTCCCTAACGCTTTCGTCAAAAGGAAGAAGAAATTACAATAGAGTCACTGGATTTTCACATAATCTCCTTGAACTTAGCAAATATCTTTCCAACGCTACAAAACAAATCTCACTAAGGAAATGTTTTCCCATCTCATTACAGTAGAACCTCGATTATCCGTGCCTGTCGGGACCGGGATTTACCCGGAAAATTGAAAACACGGATAATCCGCATATCTTATTTTTATATAAAATGGGGGGATCAAAAATTAACAAAACATACATAAACATAAAAAAGTTTCCTCTAGGCATACACATGTACATATATATTTGCATATTACAATTCAGAGAACAGTACATACATAACATCAGTTAAAAGTCGGTATGTACATAGGTACATTATGTACAAAAATATAAAAAAACTGAAATATACTTCTAATACAGGTTATTGTTCAAAGGATTTTAAATATATAATTTATTGCTTTTCGTTACTACATAGTGAAAAAATCTGTAAGTTTTGTTTGCACTTTTTTTTCAAACAAGTTTGATTTTATAGTTTCCTTAATTTTTCTTAAATTTAGTAAAATGCTGACATCAACTTCTTTTTGCTGCTCAAAATAGCACAACACAGTATCTACTGCATTTATGGCCTGACTGTGGGTTATTTTTACCTCTTCCTCACCACTATTTTCTTCCTCAACGTCATCCGCACTAATATCTGTTGTTTCATGTTGTGTCACATTTTTACCAATAATTTCTTCTGTCATTTTCTGATAACCTAAATCATTTTGATCACACCCTAACCATTCTTCAATTTCAGCCTCTTCTATTCCATTTAATTCATCTAGTTGTTGTGCTATCGTGTGTATGGCGTTGCTAGATAATTCTGGTACAAGAGTAAATTCTTCTGCCTCACTTTCATCGATAGTAATTATTTTCGAAAATGCCCGTGCTATGTGTGTGTTTTTCACACCATCCCAAGCCCTAGAAATGGCATATATAGCATCCTTCTTAATATTTAATTTTTTCCAAAAGCTCTTGAGATCGATATCAGTCAACAAGTTCATCATTAAGTCTTTTCTGTAGAGGCGCTTTATTGATTCTATTACTCCTTGGTCCATAGGCCTCGCCTATGGATGTGACATTTGGTGGAAAGAAAAAGACGGAAATATTACCATCATTTGACTTCAATATGTTGATGCTTGGATGTGATGGTGCATTATCCAATAGGAGGATTGCCTTTGGGGGTAAATTATTGTCTGTAAGAAACGTGCGAACTTGAGGCACAAATTGTTTGAAAAACCAATCTTTAAAAATTTCAGTGTTCATCCATCCGGCACTTTGACTGTAATATTTAACTGGCAACGTACTTTGGTCTACATTTTTGAAAACTCGCGGATTTTTTGACTTTCCAACCACAGCTAGTTTTAATTTGTGCTTACCAGAAGCATTCGCACAGCATAAAACTGTTATTCTGTCTTTGTTTGCGTTGTATCCTGGTGCACTAGTCTCTGTTCCCGCAGCTAAGGTTCTTGTAGGCATTGCACGCCAGTACAAGCCCGTTTCGTCGGCGTTATATATTTGATCCAATCTTAGATCATTATCTTTAATGATTTTTTCTAGATCATTACAGAATTCTACAATTCCAACCTCGTTTGCACTTAATTTCTCACCTTGGATCGCCAGTTCTCGAATTCCATGGCGCTTTTTAAATCGATGTAGCCAGCCCGCTGATGCACTGAAGGTTCCTCCCATATTTAATTGTTTGTAAAATATTTCAGCTTGCCGTGTGCACATTGGGCCTGACAGCGGAACTCCCTCCGCTCTTTTTTGTAAAAACCATTTTGCCATTGCCTCGTCTAATTCCTTATACGTTGAAACCTTCGTACTTTTGCGCATATTAGCATTGCTAAAGCTATCGCTATTACAAACAAACCGCTCAAACTTAGATTTATTCTTAATAACGTCTCGAACTGTTTGTATTCCTATTGAGTAAGATTTCGCCAAATTTGTTGCAGTTTCACCTTGCTTGTGTTTTCTTATGAGTTCAAGCTTTTGTTGTATAGTTAAAACATTTCGTTTGCGTTTTATCGGTCTCATTATTAAACATACATGTACACATCAATGTTAACTGCAGATGACTGCATTCGAATTTCGAGTCACGCATGAAATATTTATCCATTTGGTTAGATAAGACTTCTCGTACACCGCTCGGCGGTGTTCGGTTATTTTCGTAGTTTGTCACGGTTAATTCGCAGCACGAATAATCCGCAGCCGGATAATCGGTGTTCTACTGTACTTGTCTCGCGAAACAGTGATTATCACGGCGGCGTGGGATTCAAAGGTCGCAATTTTATTTTTGCTTTTTATTACATATCCGCATGAAACACAATTGACGACGCAATGAAAGTCGTTACACTTACAAATTCAATGACCAACGTCTTCGCCAAAATATTAATGAAATTGTTAACGTTTCGTGTAAAGAAACAGTAAAACTTGAAATTTCATTTTTTATATGTTAAGTTAGAAGAAACATTGCATCTTCTTATGTGATGCCGATGAAAGACACACTACATGCATTATAAAGTCTTTGATTCCACAACATGATATTCTATCTAACATTGCCAAGAAAATATTTGTGGGTTCTCCGCGATTTTCCTTAGTTTGATGAATCAGTTCAAAATAAAAAAACAAAAAGGATCGCGTGCAATTAAAAGAAATTTTGTTTTAAAATGAAATTTTATTAATTTACAAGCAATTCACTCTTTTATAAAGCCTTTCATTTCATAACATGGTCTCAACATAATGCACTGATTTCGTGGATAAGTTATAAATAAAAAAAAATAAAAGGATCGTATATAAGTGAAAAAAGTACGTAATTCAAATGATTCATGGTTCAGTTTGCCTTTCTATATTCCTTAGTGACACTTGAGAGGAAACAAATGGTATACATATCATTTGAGCTATATAATCTCTCCGACTTATAAAAATTCTCTCTGTTGTGCAATTGAATAAAACCACAAATATCGCTCCACCGGCAATATGTATTCCTCTTCTTGCCCATGATGACCTTTCTTTAATTAAAACGAAATGGTGTCTCGGACTGACAACTTGATAATTGGTGGGCACTGTTATGTGAACACCAGGTTCAAGAACCCCATCATACATGACTCCTATGTCAACTCCTGCAGCATACAGAGAACACTTCATGGGCTGCAAATAGAAAGTCCTATGAACAATTAGAGAAACCATACCAAAATTCCTTACATTGAATTATGACGCGCAATTTGAAATCCAAATTCTCGTCTCCTGAGAATGATGCCCTCCTGATCAGAATCAGTTTCACTCACCACCGCCCCCGCTTCCTGAATAGTGAAATCACCACTTGTCGATGCCATCTCTTGCCTATCGAATAATCAGTGTAATTTCTAAGACAACATAAGTTCTGAATCTCGTAACTCGCGGCAAAATTTATATTAAATAAAGATTAAAAGAAAGGCAAACATTTCTCATATATGGTAAAATTTCAGTTTTAATACATCACAAGCCAAGTGATGTACTTTGCCTTGTAATCTTCTGCCTAAAGCTGCGGTATCTGGATAAGTCTTCGAATGATATTTCTCGCATACACCCCTTACACGATGGACATGCTCGAAAATAATCAGTCATGTTTGTCAACATTTCTGGGACTAACAGTTATGAATTTACCTAGATTTAGGTTATTATTAGTGTTGATATGAGCTGGCCCTGTTTTCTTAATAGTGCAATTAATTTCTGTCTTTCCAATGAATCTGTAAAAACAAAAATATAAAAATTATATTTACAGAATAGTAAATAAGGGAAACATGAAGATGGTTTGAACCAAATTGTTTATAAGAGTAGTAAGTACTATTAGGTAAATATAAAAACTTCTTCACTTCTTCCTATCCTTTATTTTATTGGTATAATGGCGGCTTATGTTTTTAAATTTTTACAAAATATCCATATTTTTTCTTTGCCTCATTGGCACACCGCTCCTTCCTGTCGAGGGAGAGCTCCTGCGCATCAAGGAGCCGAATCTGTTCCCTGAGGGTCTCTCTGTAAACCCTCAGCGACTTTTTTTCCCCCTTGATGTGGGATATGAGGTCTTCGGTGCTTTTAATTTTCTTTTTTATATTATTCATTTTGCCGTCCACTCTCTGACGGAATTCCGCCCTCCGCTGCAGCTCTTCATTTATAATTTCTAACCAATCCTCGGAATCGTCCGAGGTGAAGGATGAAGAGGTGGAGAGCCTTGGTGAGAGCGACCGGACGGACGAAGATGGCCTCATATTCTTCCTTACCAGATGCATATTTTTGCCTCTGCAACCAAAATTAACACAATAATTTATATATTTCTCCAGGATGTCTTCAGATTTTTTTTTAAATTTATTTTTTGAATATTTACCTGGAAGGAAGTGCTGGAGCTTCGTGAGATGCCGGAGGATTTTGAAAATCGTCATCATCATCCTGTATTTTTCTTTTAGCCGCCGCCTTTGATGAGCCGCTTGGCACCGAAGCCTCCATATGTATAATGGTGTCGATGGCCAAATCGAGTTGTTCATCGGATATTCTGTAAGAAAAAAACGAAAATATGGTTTAAAAAAAACGTTGAAAAACATTAGAAAAAAACTTACGCTTCATTTATGGCGGCGTCGATTGCAGGACCACTTTCCTCACACATCTCTTGTAGCTCCAGGCGGGCCTCTTCAGATAGAGATGAGCACATGATGATATTAAAAAATTGACTTTAGTACAAGACGTTGTTGTTACTCAGCTTGTAGAAGACTGAATAATATTTAACGAATTCAGTAAGCTTATATATCAAATTGTTGCAACTTACACAGTAATACGAACATCCGGCGAATTCCGTTGAACTGTACAGGTCACTTAACTCTTTGATGTCAGCTAAAATATTGTTACATAGTTATTCTTTGAGAATTGTGTGAACTTATGTAAGTTCACAACGTATTACACGAAGTAGAACAAAGAAGACTTGAAAATGGCAAGTGTGATCTTGCCGAAACGTCGTCCAGAACACGATTCTATCCAGAATCAAGAAAACCATACGCGGAGAGGAACCCGGAAACATCTTGACAACACATATAATATCCGCGGAAATCTGAAGTTCAACATATATATATATTGTTATGATTGTATGTGTGTATGGTTTTATATGTTAGCGCCAAAATAAAATTTGTTTGTTTTGATATTAATTTTGGTTGGATTGGTGTATTGTGTATTGTATATCTTTATGAAGTTTTTCTTGATTAGTTATAGTGACTTCATCATCATTATTAGGAATAATAAATTTAAATTCAACTAAATTATCCCTTGATCTTGCTGTATAAGAATCATAACTTCTCTTTATTATAGCTATAATTCTTTTTGCATCAAAACCTTGATACGCAAATAGCTCTTTCCATAATTTCATATTATCATTTGATACTGACATCATTCCAATTGCTTCGTCTGGATCATCTAACCATTGTTTTACTGTAGGATCAGTTTTAAGAACTGTCACAATTTCATCCCAATATGAGCCTGAAGCAGCCATTTTTGCAGGACAATTTGATGATTTACAATATTTTTGAATTCTTAATTTAGAAGTTTTATTTAATGTTTTTTCTGTTTTTGCATCCGTTTATAAAATTAATTTTAAATTTTAAATTTTATTAAAATTATTATATTTTAATATAATTATGAGAGAATAAAAGATTTATAAATTTATTTAAATATTCACAAGTTAGTATTCAGAAATATAACACTCCAAGAATACGAACACTTTCTTGCCCGTCAATGTGTCTAATGGACCTGGTTTATGGAGGATCCGCTTGTCTCGAATTTCGTAAATACCTTATTTCTCCAATTGGTTATTTTAATTCCTTGTTTTCTCCTATTTGAATCTTTTTCCCTTTTCTTGCTTCTTAACTGCTTCTATTTCTCTCGGTTTTCTTTTCTTACTTTTAACAACTGTCGTTTTCAAAATTATTTTTGTAACTAATCAATAAATCCTCTTCTTTTCTTACTATCTTGATTTTTTTTCTTTTTCTCTAAAGGCCTTTCCACATATCTTTGAACGTGTCCTTTTACTCTTATAATTCACTTCACTTCACTTTCTCTTATTCACTTATACACCTTATTCTACTTTCTTTACATTCAATTTTATCTTATACTTCAAAATATTTTTTTATTTTCTCATATTATTTGCCCTTTCTAATAACTACATAATCCTTGTGTATTCTACTTTAAATTTGACACTTTTCTGACATATATTTTAATTCATCTACAAATTGTCTTTTATTTTTAATATCATTTATTACCTCTTATTCTAACTTATTTTCTATCTATTTACTAACATGATAATCAACTCAATCATAAATTTTAAAATAATCATTCCAACCATTGATTTTGCCACTTTGCCTTTTACATAACGATTTAAATTTAAATTTTACTTTTATCCCATTAATCTGGTTTCATCTCAATTTCCCAAATTTATTTGCAAATTTTATTGTTATAAGAAAATTTGTCAAATCAATTTTATTATACAAATTACACTCGATCCTCATAATATGGTTGTAATTGATCCACATTATATATTATTATTTCATCTTTCAACAAGTTACCTATTTCTTTTACCTTTTCCTTATGCATACATGGTATTGGCTACGATTTTGCTTTAAACTTCTTAATATCTTTAACTTTTATTTTATAAATAATAACCTCTAGCTACTTTCACTTAATTTGAAACCACTCCTATCTACTTCTTTCAATAAATCTCTTACCTATTTATCATAATTCTCAATAACATTTATTTTAATATCATTTATATTAAATACTTCTTCATATTCTTTATTATAATAAAATTAATCATCCTCACTACAAAATTAACTTCTATCATTTCCCTATCTTTTTCCTTGACAATCATTCCTTGTTCACTATCATTCATATTTATAACTTCATTTATTTCTTTGAAATCTACCCATATATCATTTATGCATAACTTTCTATTTTCATAATCTAATTTAGCTTTGTATTTGTTTAAATAGTCTGATCCTAAGACAATGTCCATGGTCAGGTTAGGTACTATTAAAAGTTGAAATACTAATTTGTGATTATTTAATTCTAAAGTAATATCTAGCATTTTGTTGACATCATACAGTTTTTTATTATTAGGACCTACTAATGTTAATCTATTTACTTTAATTATGTGTTGATTTAAATTTTGAAATTTTTCTACTATGCTTTGACTTATTAATGACGCTTCAGAACCTGTATCAAGTAGTATATTTAAATTGGAATTTTGAAATTTGGAATTTACATAAATTAAATTGTTATTTTGATTTATTATTACGTTTTCATCTAATGTTATAAATTCTCGGGGATGCATATAATTACAACTATATAATTTACTTAATTTGTCTGGCTTGCATTTTACTAAAAATTTTGAGGATCGTTTGTACTTTGTCTTACCGATTCCCTGTCTAAAGATCTGGATCTCTGTGTTTCAAACCTACCATCCTCATTTATGGGCATTTCAGCTCGTTCTTCTGATCTACTAGGACTTCGTCGTCTCTGAAAATTCACTTGCCTTCGAGGCTGTACATCTTCTTCCCCTCTCGATGGTTGATACTGATTACGCCGTGGATTGTTATATGCATTTTGTCGAAAACCATGGTTGAAATCATTATTATAATTGTTAAAATTTCTATTATTATTAGGATGAGCATTTTGATTACGTTGATTATCGTAATTATTACCAAAATTGTTATTATTGTTGTATCGATTGGTGAAATTATTATTATTATTTCGAAAATTATTGTTAAAATTGCCATTATTTTGATTATAGTGATTATTTTGCCGAAAATTATTGTGGTTTCGATTGTTATTAAAATTGGTTTGATATCTATCATTTTGTCTGTTACCATATCTTATACTATTTCCCTGATGATTACTTGAATTTTGAAAATTGTTACGATTCATGTTACTGGAATTTTGATAATTACTAGGCATATTTCTTTCTACTCTTGTCAAATAATTATACATATGCTCCATTGTTTTTATGTCGTGCATTGCGATGGTTTCTGCTATCTCTTGTTTAAATTGTCGTGAAATATACAATACCAAATCTTGTTCATTTATTTTTGGTGTTAAATACTGAGCTAGCGAGTATAGTCTAAGTGCATAGTTAGTGAGACTGTTGGATATGTGTGGATTAAACTTTCCAAAATATAATCGTTCTCTTACCATCAATTGTGCATTATCACCCCAAAAATGTTGTAGGAATCGATTTCTTAATTGTTCATAATCTTCAACATCATTTTCGATACCATTAAACCATATCAGTGCTTCTGATTCTAAGTTTTCTCTCATAATTTCCTTTATTCTTTCCAATTTAGTTTCTTCATCTATTCTTCCTTCTTCTATTTCTTTAATTCTCTGGTTGATAGATTTTATAAATACCATTGGGTGTAGGTTGTTTATGTTCCCTGTAAATTTGTGAATTTTTCGGTCTCCTTGACAAATCCATTTTGTGACCATCTCACCTTCTCGTCCTTTCAATTCTCTTACTCTGTCAACTTCTTTTTGGAGTTCTTCTATTTGTTCTTTTGTTCTTTTTCTTTCCAATTCCATCTCATTTCTATTACCATTTACTCTATCTTCTACCTGTCGTTTCACATGTTCAATGTTGTGAGTATTTTCCGCAACGTTTCGTCCAATAGTTCTCATTTCATCTTCCTGTTTCTTCATTGTTTCTTCTATTTCCATCGTTTTATTCGCTACCATTGCTATCTCCTGTTCTGTCTTTTCCATATCTTCTTTTAAATCTTGTTTCCATGTTTGTGTTTCCCGTCGAATTTCTTCCTTGATGGCTTGTACTTTTTGTTCAATTACTTTTACCATTGTTTCCATATCTTCTTTTCTTCCTTGTTCAAATCTTTTTAAATCTTCTTTTCTTCCTTCTTCTAATTTTTGTAAATCTTCTTTTCTACCTTCTTCTAATTTTTGTAAATCTTCTTTTCTACCTTGTTTTATTGTTTCCTCTAGTCTTCTTCTATCCTCTTCTTGCCTTTTTCTATCTTCTTCTTGTCTTTTTCTATCTTCTTCTTGTCTTTTTCTATCTTCTTCTTGTCTTTTTCTATCTTCTTGTATAGTTTTCATCATATCTTCTAACATTGTCTGTATTGCCGATTTTCTTCCTCTTCCTGTTATTGGTGCTGGTTCCATTGTCGTTTCTTGCTCTGATAAAGACTCACTTGATTCTTCTCCAGTTTGTTTTCCACTTCTAAGATCCATTTCTCTAGTTCTCTAGTTTTATTCTTGTCTTTACTTTTTCTTCTTGCCTTCTCTTCTTCTAGCCTTCACTTTTCTTCTAGCCCCACGTTCGGACGACAATTTTGTTATGATTGAATGTGTGTATGGTTTTATATGTTAGCGCCAAAAATAAAATTTGTTTGTTTTGATATTAATTTAGGTTGGATTGGTGTATTATGTATTGTATATCTTCGCCCTATCTAGCTCTAGACTCTATCTCTGTAGTCGGTTCTATGTTTTAGCAAGAAACCACACCAAGCACAGCTACAAAAAACCAAAAGTTTAGTAATAAATGTATTTATTAAAAAATTTTTTTATATGTCAAAATTTGTCACTCTAACCTCTTAAACACACTAGTCAATATATTTTGAAGTATTTCACAATGTTTATAAAGCCTTATACAAGAAGTTATATTGATAACATTATTAAATTAAATTTCATGCAATACTGGTTGCATACCTTAAGACACTGTAGTAATAACTTCTTATTTAATACTTATTAATTTTCTCTACTATTAATATTTAATTCTACAAAGACTTGGCCAGTTTTAAATCGATATGAAGTGATTAGATAAATTTACTTAATATTGAATTGGTGATTTACTAAACGTTTTATATTAATTTTTGTTTTCTGTATTATATTTCGTATACGATTTTGTTTTTATTATAAAAGGTACCNAATCTGAGCAGATGATAATGCATCATATCTTTGATCATTAATTTCACAAAGCTGTACTACGCTTGTCTAGAGATCAGGTTGTATTAGAATGCGTTGTAATCTGAAACCTCACCTTATTTGCCTTTTTACTCTAAGGTATCCGGTACTAAGAGTTGCTTCAGTTGAGAAATACGTTCTGTCTCCATAGATAAACTGGTATTCAATTGAGGTAAATATTTCTAAATTATAAAATAGGATAAACATTCATGAACAATTTCTGAAGATGTCCGCGAAAAGCAGTATCCCAACGATAGTACCTTCAGACTGTTATCAAAAAGTCCAGATACATCTAAAGAACACTATCAAAATAAATGTAAAACAATGAACAGTGCCAAAGAAATTCAGTTTCGGAAAAGGTGCTAAACTCAGCAATATTAAACTGTTAGATTTTTACCATGTTCCCTCCATGAAACATACATATTTACTATTTCTAAACACCAAAACTTTAGATGCCGCAGCAATCCAATAGATTTTTACCATTTTCCCTCAATGAAATATACATATTTATTGTTTCTAAAAACCAAAACTTTAGATGCCACAGCAATCCCTATACCTCCCTATCTGGTTTCTCCTGATTATGATGACCTTAAGTTCTTGATTTGAAAAGGCAAATATTTAGAGATGACGAAATTAAATAAGTGGTGCATTCCCGACATGGATCATAACCAAAACATCGCCTTCTAATTTAATAATACGTGCATAATAATAACGTGGACAGTGTTTGTAAAAGATGGTGATTGACAAAATGGCATTGTTCGTGTCTTTAATTGGAATTATACTCCCAATTATACTTTAAAGTATTAAATCTGCCATTACTTGTGAGGGTAATGTTATGTTTTATATAAATGAGGGATGTATTTATGAGTTTTAAATAGAAAAAAAATTGTAACTGTACGAAAGCGTTATAACGAAACGACAGAACCGTCAAATTCAAAACAAAATTTGAGTTTGCACACTCCAGAAATTATGCAAATAAGCTCATGTTCTATAAGTAGTAGCACAGAACGATAAAGAACAATCCCAAAATGCTAATAATTCAATAAAAGTTCTGACATGAGAATATTTGAAAAATATTGTACAATTTTGACAGTACTGTATCGGAAAGAAAAGTTTTTTTCACATATAGGTTCGAAACATGCTATCAAACTAATAAATAAATAAAATATAAAGTACCTTAATGTAGAATGTATATGTGGAATCAAACTCATACGTTATTAAAAGCAGTTATGTGACGTAATAGTATTGACATGTATAGCTCCGTTACAAGTTTGAAAATTTCTTTGTGTTGAAACGTTCCTGTAGTATAAAATCATGTATATAGTGTGTAAGAGACCCTTGTTAGTCCATTTAAGATAAGTAGTACCCAAAGCAAAGGCCAATTTGTTGTTAAGACTGTATAAATGTTCCTCGGAACGGGATGTTGAAAACTTTTGTCCATTTCTACCTAAAAAATGCATAAAGGCTGTGTAAAAAGTGATGTATAGACAGTAATAGGGTTATAGAAAAGACAGGCATGCAGAAATTTAATCCATGCATTAAAATATAAGTGTAATTTGGTAAAATGTGCTACATTGCAATATGAACTACAACATAACCTAGCAAGGTGAAAGTGGTATCAAAATATTCAGGAAAGGAAATAGAATTCAAATATGAACAGTACATGCAGTCAAATTTTAAGTAAAAGCTAGAATTTCTAAAATAAAATTTTCCAAAATTACAAGTTATTGTTGCCATAGAAATATTCGTTTGTTTTTGTTTTGCTATTTAATCTCTGCGTGGGATTGAGTTGTCCAGTTCATTTTTGGCAGCGAAAGAACTCACATCGATAGTAGTGCTCCTAAAAAACAAATGAAAAATGTTTATAACAACGAATAAACAAAATATTCAAGTACTTACGTAGTTAGCTGGTGGTGAAACGTCAAAGGCAATGGTGCTGTCATAAATCCGAAAGTGACATTTCTCGAACGTACATAAGTCCGAATACAACCAAAATTAGAAATCAACAAAGTTCCGAAATAGTTAAACAACAAATTGATTCTTAATATAAGTGATAAATAATAAAGGGTAATACAAATCAGTGCAAATAAAAATAAGTGCAGTGAGTGCAAATACGCCGATTCCAGAGGATACGCCAACAACTGTTAAGAGTACGAAAGCAGCTAGAGATCCAGTCTACAAAACGAGGAATGCAGCGCGACTACGACGTGTTGGGAATACAAATTGTCAAAAGTAAGTGTCGACACACATAAAAGGCCTATCTGTACAAATTTATAAAATGCGCTATACAAATCATAACGTAAAATTTTACATAATTTTAAAGAAAGGTACCTAACAAAATAGACATAAAGGGGGGATGTACCACTGTATGAATTTAGTTTTAAGGATTACAACAAGGTGTTCATTGTTAAAAGATAACTTGCTCGATTCATAATATATGACATTAGTAAAATAATTTCCATCTTTCATTTGCATAACAACATAATCTTTTATAACAAAACATAATATACAGTACGAACGAAAGGAACCCACCCACCCGAGATAAAAAAAATTAAAAATCATAATCATTCATCTCTTATAAACAAATAATATATATATAACGAGCGTTCAAATAAAAACGTGGTCGAAGTTGGCTCTGACATATTGGACGTAGGGAGTAGCTTATAGCGACCAACTTAACCTCATTTCTCAACGAGCTGTATAGCAGCTGTCAGTTTCAATAACGTTAATGACTATATAACTTTATTTTAAAGAATAATCGTGATAACAATAACAAACAATTAAAGGAGCTGCGGAAAGTGTCCCCCTCCTTGTTATAACAATAAATTAAAGCAGCTGCTGAAAGTGTCCCCCTCCTTGTTCCAAGCACTTTTCACACCTGTTCCTCAAAGAATTAAAGACATTTTCTAAGATGCTCGGGGTATTGTTAATTTCACGAATCTTGTCTATAAGTCGAGCCTGCAGATGGTTTAAATCAGGAATAGGCAGTTCAAAAATAGTGTTTTTAAGGTAAGGCCACAAAAAGAAATCACACGGCGTAATATCACATGACCTCGGTGGAAATTCATGTTCAGCATTGAGACTTATTAGTCGATTTTGGAAAACTTCCCTCAACATATTCATCGTCTCGCCTGCCGTATGTGCCCTTGCGCCATCTTGTTGAAAGTAAAAGTTTGTAATTTCGTTTTCTTCCAGCTGGTTAACAAAAGGAGCGATAATTTCTTCTCTATACCTTTGCGCAGTAAGAGTACCATTAAAAAAAATAGGTCCATAAATCCTCCTTCGATTGAGAGCACACCAAACTCCAATTTTTTGAGCGTGTAGAGGGCCCTCGACAAAAAAGTTATCTGGTTTTTCAGAAGACCACATTCTTATATTCTGTGAGATTCATGAGACACATGTGGAGGGGGAACTTACCGCTCTCTGATTGAGTGGATTAGAACTCCCGGCTCTCGGATTGGGTGGGGCTACCAAAAAAAATGGTGGGGGAGGGGGCAAAAGGGTGGGGGTGGATTAGAACTCACCAAGTTGGTGAGCCAACTTTCCCTACTGGTAGTTGGTTACAAAGAGGTACACTGCTTCAACAATTATATTCTGCAAGGGTTATACAATATAACTTATATTAAACGTAAATATATAATTATTTATGTCTAGACATATTCTGATAATGTGCCTGCCAAAATGACTCTATTATTTAAAACGATAAGTGACCTACGTCACTGGGGAAAGTTTCCCTTAATGTAAACAATTAGATAACACTTTATATTTAAGCAACCACCAACTTGTAAGCTCAGTTCAGTTCTTATTAGTTTTTGGCTAGAGAACGTGTACTCGATTAGTTAGTAAATAAATAGTTTTTAAAAACAGCTTTGCACATCTTGTGTATTTAATTATATACAAAAATATCCAATTTCTTTGAAATTTGCTACTTGTAAACAATCTGGTTGGTTATAGAGGATGTTAGTTGTCTTTTAATAAAGCCAATAATTTTGACATTTGCCAAAGAATCTATTGAACCAGAACGTTCAATTGAATTTGTAGTAGGTCTCCATTATTGGGTTGATAAAAATATGAGTGACACCGAAGCTTTAATATCAGTAATTGATTCATTGGGTCGGTATCAGATAGAGGAGAACTTGGAAGATAATGGCTGGCCATCGCCCAGAAACATGGTAAGATTGACCCGAGCGTCATTCGAATTTTGGACCGAAGAGTACCATATCGGCGATAACGTACATCATAAGATTAGATGGACCGACAAAGAGTAC